TAATTAACCGAAAAAAAAAAAAATAGAAATATGGGTAGACCTTGCAAAAGAATTTAATGCTGTCTGGAGAAACATTTAGGGATACAAAGACATTAAAAAACAAATATGAGAATTTGAAGAAACGCACTAAACATAAGGTGATACCTGATCTAAATAAATATTTTTTAAATCTATTAATCATGTATTCACTCCTCTACTAACAGTACTCTCCTGAATACCATGATAATATCTAGAAACTTTTAAAAAACAACCAGCTGCTAATAATCTTAATGTCACTAAAACCATATCTGCTGCAGATAAACTATGAATTCTAAAAAAAATACCATATTATATAACATTCAAAATATATGACACCAACCGAGACGTTCGATTGGATATCTCCCCTGATATTTCATCGATTAAAAACCTAACAGTATTTTTCGATTTTACACCTTTCTCGAAATTCACCTTCCGTCCACATATCAAAATTATTTCTTTTGTCTATATAAATTCTTTGTGCTCCTCGGTTTTCATACAAATCAATTAATTCCAGAAAATCTTCGTCGTCGGTTACATTTTCATAATTTCTTGCTATTTTCAAAACAAATTGCAACAAATAAATAAGTGTTCACTATATAGACAATAACAGCTAGGTAGCAGTCACAATTTTTAAGGTTAGCTTTCGTTTGACTGTGGTTTATCTTGACGGGAGGTTAACGGTAGTTCAAATGCTGAACAACTCATGTACAAGCGGGTCAGATATGTTGAACGAAGTTCAGCGTTGAGCTAGGTTTAAACTGGCAATGAACAAGTGGCCGTTGTAATTTCTTCCTTAGTAAATTCCTCTACATCCTAGAAAATATATAAGTAATTCCCTGTAAATCCTTATATACATTTGTTACATATTTTTGCCTACACCTACCAACATTTTTTTGATATTTGTATGGGGTATCCCATAATTAAACTGCCAAACTTTTTGTTTAAAAATACGAAAAAAGTTCAAATAAGCATAGGTTGCAAGGGTTCACAATCAAGTGACCGTAGTTTCCTTAAGAAGCATTTTCAGACCCAGGTTTATTTATTTTCCAGTTATTTTCTAATTTTTGTAAAAATTTGGTGATGAAGTGTGGCAGGTTAGTGGGACACCCGATTTGGTGATTTATTTACATAAATTATATTTACATATTTACATTTGGTTATTTATTTACATTTTCATCAAAATCCAACAGCACCTTTCTTTAAAATCTAAATAAACGAAATTTTTAGATTTCTTGGTGAAATACGTGAAGAAAACTGTCACAAAGATGGTGTGACAACAAATTTTAAAATTATTGTGCAGAATATTTATAAATTGTTCACAATAAAATAGCTAGAAGATCTCTAATGTTTCATTTAATTATTACTGCAACTTTCGGAAATCTTGAATATAACCCAATCCCAGAACTCTTTCGAGGAGCTCAGGAAGAATTTTGGGTTTTGGGTTTATTAAATTTTCTTCTTAATTTTGAAAGTAAAATCTAGTTATAACTATTTATATAAAAATATGTATGAAATTAATTACTAAGCTTAGGGTTTTCGTCGTAAATAAGTGCGTATAAAATAAACAAGTAGGTATAAATAAAAATAAATAAACTTGCGTACTTTATCAGTGAAAGGTCGTTTTTACCCCTTGACGCGTTCGACATTATTAGAATATTAAAACACGTATACATGAAGCAAACGCGAAGCCGATAACTGCCGTTATTAACGGTTTCGTACGGTGCGCTGTAGTAAAAGGCCTACGCGACGGCTATGATCATCCGACCGAGTCCCGAGCTCTATTAATTACAAAACTCTTCTTTACCAAATTTTCAGTACACGCGCATGGTTTGTTGAAGGAGTTAACTTGAGAAGAGATAACATCTCATAAAGCATGTTTCTAAATTAATCTACACTCACCGGAAAAAAAACGGCCACCCTAAAATATTTCATAAAAGCACGTAAATATTAATTAATGTAACTCAGAATTAATATTTGGTTGCAGAACCATTTATTTTCGATTCAGGTTGTTCAAGAAAAAAAATTATTTATGACAAAATTAAATTAAATTAGAACAATAACAGAAACGGAACAAAAATACGCTTTTTTCTTATGTTTAAACAATTAAGGTGGGTGTTTTTAATGGACTTCCTGGTTATTGTTAATAGCGTGTATGTCTTTCTCGAGCCTGAATTGCAGCATTCAACTGTCGTGACATTGAGTCAACTAAATTTCTTAAGCGTATTTAAGGATTGCTTCATATTCTTCTTGAAGGGTCAGTCTTAGCTCTTGAAGAGTTTGTGGAATGACTGGTTGATGACGAATAGCCCTCTGAAGTGCATCCCAAAGATGTTCAATTGGATTAAGGTCCGGGATGCATGCTGGCCAATCAAGGCTACGAATACCGACCTCGTTTAAGTATTCAGTTACGATTCATGCAGTGTGTGTTCTGGCGTTGTCGTGCATTAAAACGAAGCCATCTCCAATAAAATACGAAAATAGAACGACAGCTTCTTGAAGAATATCTTCTACATATTTGCAGGCGTTCAAAGCTCCATTATCCACAAATATGAGTTCGATACGTGCTTCCGTAGAAATGTCCGCCCACACCATAACAGAACCTTCTTTAAAAGATACTCGTTCTGAGATGGTGCAGTCTGAATATCGTTCATTTTGTCTTCCCCACACCCTTTCCCGACCATCAGGTGATCGCAGACAAAAACGAGACTCGTCAGTAAAAAGAACTTCACTCCATTGCCGAGGAATACAATTTACATGTAATCGCGCAAACTGAAGACGTGTCCTTCGATGCCTATGTAGCAATTGTGGTCTTGTGGCTGGCCTCCGTGAAGATAAACTATTTTCTACAAGCCTCCTCGTAATCGTCCTCTCACTTACTTAAACCCTCGCACTGTTAGAAGGCGATGCTGAACTTGAATTGCTGTTGACCTGAAATCCCTCAGTGTGTTGAGCATAACGAAACAATCATCAAGCGCCGTTGTTACTCTTTTTCTTCCGGATCCTGGTCGTCTCGTGACCCTGCCAATCTTCAGATACCGATATCACGCATCCTGAACGGTACTACGAGATATTCTCAATGAACGAGACACATAACGCTCACTACATCCATCTTCAATCAGTGCAACAACTTGAGAAGCGTCAGCAAAATCTATCCTAACCTTGATCCTAACATTTCAAGTATCGAAAAGTAGCATCGTATCGCAAAAATGTATGTTCTAAAAGTATCGACAATTTAGAAATTTATTATATGAAAATTTATTGGTCATGGAAATACAACAATATTCCAAAAATTCAGAAAACTATATACTTCTAGAAATGAATCAGTAAAACAAGAGTGTCCTAGGTATGACTCAATGATACATCCTATTGTAGATTGTCGTTATCTGTTGTCATTTTAAACAGCGTGGCCCTACGTTGGGCGCCATATCGTGAAATATAATTGATCGCATCCTTCGGTGGTATATTGTAGTGGTCTTACACCTCCATCCAGGTTGAGCAACGGTACCTGGTTCCTCGATTTCCACCAGTGGTCTGTTCGCTTGCGTAGAGGTGACTAAGACGGTCGGACACGTCCCCTTCATGCCTATCGCAACGTAAGCTTCCTCCATTGATGACGAATAGCCGGCCTGAGGATAATGGTCCCCAATGTAATATTTGGACCTAACCAACACTTACACAGTTCAAAATGGGATTGTTTTTTGTTTTTATGTGGGACTTTCTACTAACTGTTATTATTGCATTTACCGCTTTTTGTTTATTAACACCTGCGAGTGTCTCGGTGTCCTTTTATCTTTGTATTTTGGCTGGTTTATGAGACCTCCGGATCAGAAAGATTTAAGAGCTTGTAGTATGTGCCCTCCTTAGAGTGCCCGGTATGGAAGCTTTAGTAGTTCGTATTCCTCAATTAAAGGAAATACTACATATATGAAGGACGCTGTAGACGGAAACGGCTATACTTTGAGTACTCTCTCTCTCTCTCTCTCTCTCTCTCTCTCTCTCTCTCTCTCTCTCTCTCTCTAATCGTTGAGGAAGGAATTACGTTAGCCAATTATGTACCAGCGTGAAAGAAAAAGATGGTACCCAAACTACCTACCTCTTTCTCTCTCTGTCACTCGTCTACACTGTCGCATGTTTCCTCCATATTGTATACACTCTAAGAACCCTCAGGGCCATCGTCGCAAGCTCAGAAACTCATGAACGGTTTGAACTATAAGAGGTATGGGAACGTAAAGTTCGTAAATTTTTTGAGAGAAATATTTAACTCAGTTTTGTAAAAATTTATTGAATTTTTTTATTAATTTACAGTAGGTGGAAGCATTACGTAATTTATGTGTACAAAACAAAAGTAAATGTTTGGTGCGTACTATTGTTACTGGCCACGTATCAGATCCTGGTTAATAAGCTGCAGGGTACTCGAGTTGGCGTTCGAACACGCTCCAGGTAGGATCCGCAAGGGTCTTGCAGTGATGTCCGCATTGAATTTGGGAATTTGACCTCATTTGACCGAAGGGTTATTGATCTGAAAATGATTTTAGTTAATGTTGACCCTAACATCTTGCTGCAGTCTGAATGTGTATAATTTGGATTTATTTTATTTGCCAAATATCCGGAATTGTGGCGTAATTTTTTTTGGCACCTTTTAGCGCTGTCGGCAGTGGCTCAGCGATAGGCAGCGTGTTCTGTTAGCAACGTCTACTACGGATGGTGGTGCTTGGCGGCAAATTCCTAAACATGCGTGAGTGCATTTCCTGTCCATGGTTTCTTACCTCTAGTGGGTTTTGAGCCCCGTGAGTGGCTTTCTAAATCATTTTGCGAACATTGAAATCCTCTCGGGACTTATATTGTGACCCTACCTTCTATTTTTTTGTGAGTATATATAATTTTTAAAATCTCTGAAGAATTACAATGTAACATAAATACTTTTGACGATTTCTACATCCCATGTCAATCGCACCAAAAAATTTCAACTACCGCCTCTGAATATGGATTATCTGTTGCAGGTGTCCTGGATAAGAAGCAGAGACCTGCACATCCTGACGTCGAGCCGGCACACGTTCACCGGCGACAGCCGCTTCGAGTCTGTGCACTCCGATAGCTCGGGTGACTTCTGGGGTCTGCGGATCCGCGGGGTGCACGTGTCCGACACGGGCCAATACGAGTGCCAGGTCAACACGGAGCCAAAGATGAGCCTGGCGATCAGCCTCACGGTCACCGGTAGGTAATTTTCGAGTCGCGGGGCTGTTGGAGAACAGAACTGGGATTTAAAGGGTCAGGTGTCGTTGCCTTTCAGCACATACAGGGTGATTGATTAAGGCCACCGGCTGTATATGGGAACCTGTTGGTCCTAGAGGTTCGGGGGAAAAATTCTTATAATAAAAGTGGCCATGAAAATTTCACTAAAAATATTTTCATTTTCCGCAAATCTCCGCTGATCAAGAAATTTTTAAGATTGATTTTAAATGAAAAAATGCCTTATTAACGTGGATATATTTTTATCAGTTTTAATTGATAGTCCATTTCCTAAAACTTTTTCTAGTGACATTTTTTATTTCCCCGATAAATAAAGGGGCGGGATAAATTTTTGCTATTAATTTGAAAAAATGCTGTATTTTCGAATCCTTTTAATTTATTTTCTTGCAATTAGGTTTGTTTAAATTACAATACCTTACAGATTTAATAAATGTTTTAGTGATGGCAAAAAGTTGGTTAATAAAGATACAAAATGGCGATATGTTGAAACCTAACATATTTCTTAATTTTTCTTGGAAATTTTAAATGGAACGATATACTTTTTCCTGAGTCATTATAACCAACATTTAATTAAAATAAAACTGGTCAAAACCGCATCTCAATATCTCGAACCGTTTAGATTTTCGTATTGTACCTAAAGAAGAAGAATAAATTTTCATTTACCCCCGTATCATTTCGAAACAAAATGTATATTTATCTGCTGTTTCGGCAATTACATATTATTTTACAAAAACCGGCCTCCCTTCATAAGAAAAAGTATTCCCCAGGCGGGTATCAAACTCTCAACCTTTATTTAACAGATGAATCAATTGTTGCTTAGGTGGAAAGTATGATTTTTTTCAATCTAATTAATTAAAATTGACTTAATTATTCAATTCGAATTTAATTACGTATCTCATTAAAATTTTCATTCTTAAAAGTTCCCCTATAACGGTGGTCAATGTTAGTCCTGAAAATCAAAATAAAAAACAAATGATTACATTAACGACAGGTTTATTACAATTTAGTTTATCGTTGTCAGAAAGTTTACGCATTATAATTGTTTATAAAATTGATCTAAAATCATTCAATAATGTCATATATTAATGCAGAAGCGTTTGCGGTTGAAATACTGGCTGTTTATTTTCAATTTTATGAAAATGCTGTTATTGCTTCAAGGTAATATGCCGTAAGATATCCGGAGAGACGTCATTGCTCCAGACGTTCAGAAGATTGGCAGAGCGTTTACGAGAGACAGGTCAAGTTTAGCCTCTACGGCCACCGAATAGACTACGACCTATTACTGAATCTGAAGTAAACATTATAAATGGCTTACATCTATGTAGATCCACATCTAAGTATTAGAGACATTTCAAGGGAGTTAGGAGTAACATTTTATTGTCTATAAAATATTAAAAAAAACATAAAATGCACCCTTACCATATTGTGTTACATCAAGCATTAAACGATCAAGATTTTGGTCGTAGATTGGATTTTTGCCATTGGCTTAAAGGTTTCCTCACCGAAGATGCTACGTTTTTGTCAAAAATCTTATGCACATACGAAGCAACTTTTACTAGCAACGGGAAAGTAAATTCGCCCAACATGAATTATTGGTCAGCAACTAGCCTTCATTAGTTAAGAGAAGTGGATCACCAGAACAGGTGGAGTGTAAATGTGTGGTGCGGTATTTTAAATAGACAAATTATTGGGTAATTTTTTTGATGGCCATCTTAACGGTGAAAGGTTATTAGAAGAGGCATCAATTGCTGAGAGGATGAATATGTGGTACCAACAAGAGGGATGTCCAGAACGTCCGAAATTATCTTGATAATACATTTCCAGATAAATGGATTGGCAGGGGAAGTCTTTTGCCGTGGCCTCCAAGGTCCGCAGACCTCACTTGTTTAGATTTTTATCTATGGGGTAGAATAAAAGACTTGATCTGCAAAAATCGTCCCACAACACCGGAAGATATGAAACAAAGAATTCGTGTGGCTATAAGAAATTTATCATCAGCCGAAATTGAAGCCGCGCACAGTGGGAAATATTGAACAAAATTCTCGCCACTCGCCAATTTTCATCGTCTCGTCGTGATTTTTTTTTTAATAATCTCGTGGTAATCTGAATTTTCATATTCCGGTGAGGTTTTTTCGAAAAACCCTTTTTTTTAATACTTAGGGAGCGCCCCAACCAATGTCGAAGAAAAATTTTTTAAATAATCGATGTTCAGTTGTAGAAAAAAATGTTTAAAAGTATTTGCTGTTAATAAAATTGATTATTATGACCCTTGATGATATATCTGATGTTTTTTCTTCAAAAATCTAACCTCAAAATATATCAAGTCATAATAATCAATTTTATTAATAGCAGATACTTTTAAAAATTTTTTTCTACAACTGAACATCGAGTATTTAAAAAAATTTTCTTCGACATTGAGGTTGGGGCGCTCCCTAAGCATTAAAAAAAAAGGTTTTTCGAAAAAACCTCACCCGAATATGAAAATTCAGATTACCACGAGATTATTAAAAAAAAAATCACGACGAGACGATGAAAATTGGCGAGTGGCGAGAATTTTGTCCAATATTTCCCACTGTGCCGCGGTACAATCTACGAGAGAAAGGCTTAATTTGTGCATCGACAATGGTGGTAAACATTTTGAACATTTTTAATTTTTGCTTTTTTGCCGCCATAGACTGGCGAATTTGTTGTAGTTATTGTTATTCCTTATTGATTTTCGTTTAACTTTGTGTTATTGCTGTTTGTCCCGTTGGCCTTTAAACATGCTCCAGTTATTGTTTCAAGTACTATTTGGACCAGTCCTAAGCCTGGATAAAGTGTGAAGGGAGGCCGGTTTTTGTAAAATAATATGTAATTACGGAAACAGCAAATAAATATCGTTTTGTTTCGAAATGATAAGGGAGTAAATGAAAATTTATTCTCTTTCTTCAGGTACAATACGAAAATCTAAATATTTCCTAAACGGTTCAAGATATCGAGATGCGGTTTTGAACAGCTTTATTTTAATTAAATGTTGTAATGACTTAGAAAAAAGTATATCGTTCCATTTAAAATTTCCAAGAAAAATTAAGAAATAGGTTAGGTTTCAACATATCGCCATTTTGAACCTTTATTAACCAACTTTTTGCCATCACTAAAACATTTATTAAATCTGTAAGATATTGTAATTTTACAAACCTAATTGCAAGAAAATCCATTAAGGCTTTCCGAAAATACAGCATTTTTTCAAATTAATAACAAAAACTTAATCCCACTTAATTATCGAGGAAATAAAATATGTCACTAGGAAACGTTTTAGGAAATAGACTATCGATTAAAACTCATAAAAAATATATCCACGTTAATTTTAAAAATTTCTTGATTAGTTGCGCCCACATGCGGAGATTTGCGGAAAATGAAAATACTTTTAGTGAAATTTTCATGGCCACTTTCATTATAAGAATTTATTCCCCGAACCTGTAGGACCAATAGGTTCACATATATAGCCGGTGGCCGGCCTTAATCAATCACACTGTATTATGTCGTTTCTAAATTTCAACATTTTTTACTTAGTAAACACTTAATCTTCTTAAAAAGTTTTACATGAATATTCCTTAAACTTTATTTTCGTTGTTCTCAAAACGCTTTCCCATTCAGTACTTTCCTCAGCGACGCAAACAAAGGTCACACGGAGATAAATCTGTTAAAAGGAAGTTTAAATAATTTAATCAATCCAATTTCTACATTTAGCGTTATCGTCAAGGATCAAAATGTTTCACAATCTTCGAAAACAAAAGCTTTACTGAGAGTAGACTTTCCAAACTGCACTTGAAATAGCAAAATATATTCCTAATTATTTTACACTAATTCAAGACACATTTATAGTTTTACTGTCTCTATAGCTCTAATCTTCCCACGTTGTTTTTAAATTTTCCATTTTGCCAGCAGTTTCATTAGCAATATTTATTCTGTTCCAAACTGATTTTCTCCGAGACTAAGCGTTGAAGTATATTGTTTCGCAATTAGGCAATTTCCTTCGCATAAGATTCCCCCTAAGATTTCTGAAATCAAGCGTCGTCTGGGGTGTGCTGTTTGAATGGAAAAAATTCTTTGTTTAAGTGATTAATTATGTACTCCATCCAGTATCAAGACAGACAGAAAGATGGGGCGATATTTTATCGGGGTATCTGCATTGTCCCTTTCTTCAAAACTCCAAGACAATGAATGTTTTTGCAAACAAATTCTGAAATAAATCGAAAAACAACGAAACAGTGTGGTGGCGCTGGCAAAAACCTGCAAGTCGTATATCAACGTCAGAATATGAACTTTCAAAGATTTATTTAATCTCACCGTACATTTAAGGTTTATTGGATTAAGCAGGCTTTGATTTATTCAGTTTTTTGCCTAACTGAATTAACGGAATTTATTTCGCCTGATTACAGGAGCCTTCGTAAAATATTAGCTTGATATTGTCCTGGAAGTTTTTAAATCAGGAAAAATTACAGCCGCGTCTTCTTTATATTGTTACCTGATCCATTACTCAAGTTCAAAATTTACATCAGTTCTTAAATTCTGTACAGATGCAAAAAATATGTATAGTAATGTTCAAGAATAGCTTATGAGCTAAAAATTTTCATAAAACTTAAAATTGCCTTATAAGTATAGATAAGATAATATAGGCTGTTACAAATTCGCTTCTCACTACAGAAATCTCGTAAACGGTAAGAGATACGAAGTAGCTTAAATGGGGTCAAAGTTGCGTAATCAGGAGACCAACATTATGCCTCTAAAGAAACAAGGCTAACTTGATTAGTTTTCGAAATATTTGAAAAAACCGAAATTGTTAAAATCCGTTTTTGTTTCGTTTCAGCCTTGTTTGAGTTGATATTGAAAAAAGAAGAACACATTCTCATGGCAACTTTTTGTCCTCTGTCGAATGGCATAATCAATTTTTATATGTAACGTTACGACTCTCCAGAACCATCATCAACTTAATTTTTTTTGCATGAAAATTTTATTACACTTTTTGCAAGCCTTCATGACCTTCAATACTGTACTGCATCAGCTTGTAACATCTTATATTATGTCACAATATTCCAGACACATTTCTACAGGTGTAATTTAATGTAGCAGCCATATGAACACCCAGTACACGTACTTTTGTATGTTATGTGCAGTTCTAAAAGTGTAGGTCTTTAGGAACTAGTTATAAACATATGAATTCACAGTACTTACGTATATTGTCTAAAAAACAACAACCTTGAGATGCATACTCTGTAAATATTTTAGCTTAGATACACCACCTGTATATTGTAAATACGTAGTGTTAAGACACATTGGTATAAAAACATTTATTTCCAGCATTATAACCAACAACAATGTATGTACTAATTTTTAAGATTAACCTTAAAATGTTTGACATCACACACCGCTTGTTGCATAAAACACAATTTCATAGAAATCATAGAACCCTAGTCTAAATAAGATATTTGGGAAATAGAACCTATGAACGCTGAACAAATAGATAGGATATTAAAGAACAATTATGTTTATACAAAAGTAGGGATTTTTAATTGTATAAAGTTTTAACCAGTTTAGTACGGAGTAAGAGCCAATCGTAACGATTGTATTTTTTTGGAACTCCAGTTCTTACAAACTAGAGACAAGGCCCCGCTTGGCCATTTCCCATTCAGACTCTGGCTGGTGAAAAGTATTAACAGCTTCTAGTGATTTCTAGTGATTTCGAGCTATAGTAGCCATTTTATATAAAATCACGTTGAATCTACATCATCCTACACCGTGAAACGGTAATTATACCAATAATTAAACAAATAAATTCAGATGTTCATAGATTTGTACATAGTTTGTAAATATATTTTAGTAGTGAGTAAGCACGTTTCCCCAAGTATCTATTTAGAACTAATTGGGTTTTTTTTTCTCCCACGTTGCGTTTTAGAAACCAGCCAGCTAGTTTAGATAATAATAATAATAATAATAATCAGCTAGTGATAATTAAAGATGGTAGTACTAATTTCAATGAAAGCTAGCAATAATCAAAGCTATTCCTAATTAACCACTGTAAATGCCATAAGCCGAGGCAAATTGCCAAATTGAGAACCTCTAATATCCAGTTTGAAAACCCAGGCAACTAGAACGCAACTTAGGTGACCATTGCAACAAGCAGAGTGTGAGACAAGACTACATAACCCGAGAGGACTGTAAGACACCTCCACCATCGTCATAGCCACCACGAACTCCGGGTGGGGGTTGAATAAAAATTTGAGACACAGTAGTGTTCTGGTTTTTTCATCTTTTATAGTAACTTATTCTGTACCCTTATATTGTTTCCATCCTATACCTGCTGGGGTATCGGGGGGAAAGGAGAAATAATTAATACTTTATTCAGTAGCTTGGCGTCTTAATTAACATCTTTCATATACATATTTCTCGTTTCTTCCCGAAGCTAAAGACCGATTTAGCAAGAGTCGAGATATCCAACATCAAGAAAAACAAAAGCGGACTACGGCCCAACTGCACTCCGTCCAATGAGCTGCCGTTAGCCCCTTAAGCTGTGCACAAAAAAATATTAGAGCTGATAGGTGTAACAAGCTCATACCAGATTCAGACGTTTTCCCTCTAAAAATTCATTTTCAATGTAATTGTTCTAAACATTATTGGAGTTTTAATCCCATGCTCATTCTTGTAGGTTTCTCGAGTGCTCAAAATTCAAACAAATTTCGATCAAATTTTTTTCAGTATATTCATACAAATACATCAATCTGACAAGCAATTTCACAGTTGCGGTCACAGGTATAATAAATTCCGATCATATTGTGCTTATCTTCATTTTCTGCATTTGCCAAAACGAAAACGTTTTTGAACATTTACCGTAATTTTTAAAGTATAATTTTTATTTGGAGAGTTGGTTGATCATATGCATTTTTAAGAATTAATTTGTTGTTAGAATGAAATTAAAATTGTAGTTTTGTTTAAATTTTTACCCAACAACTTATCGAATTATGTATAACTAGGTGATGGAGATTAAGGCTCTAATAATGTTTTATTGTAACGTGTGATGGTAATAGTTTAAATAACTAAGTGGATTTATTAGGGTCTAACGACACTTACAGTGTACGATAATTGTAGAAACAAAGAAATCTTAAAAAACGAATACATTGAAGATGAATTTTAAGAGGCAAAACGTGTGAATCTGGTTCGAGCAGAGGCAGTACAGTATGGGGGTCATAAAGGCTTGCAAAAAATGTTATAAAATTTCCAGGACCGTATTTAAAAAATTTAAGTTGATGATGGTCCTGGAGAGACGAAACGTTACACATAAAAATTGATTATGCCATTCGATATAGGGCAAAAATTTGCCATGAGAAAGTGTTTTTCTTTTTCCAATATCACCTCAAACAAGGCTGAATTTAAACAAAAACGGATTACCAAAATTTCGGTTGTTTTCAAATATTTCGAAAACTAATCATGTTAGCCTTGATTTTTTAGAGGCATAATGTTGGCCCCCTGATTACGCAACTTTGCCCACATTTACTTCGTATCTTTTACCGTTTCCGAGATCCCTGTAGTGATAAGCGAATTTGTAACAGCCCGTATACAGGGTGTAAATAAATAATTGCAAGAAAATTGAGGAGGCGATTCGTTGATGAAAATTTAGGTAGGGGGGTCTTTCATATAAAAATATTTCCTCGTCCTCTTCCTGCAGATTTATAGTCCTTCAAATAAGGACAGAAAAATGAAAGAAATTGTCAAATATTTGGCCACCGCCTACTATAAATTTTTCATTTTGATATGAATATGTAGATCAAGAATGTATCGTAACATTCGTGGTTCAAAAGCTATTAAATTTATGGAGATCAAGTTTGTTTCAAATAAATTAAGCTACGATGCTTTATATGATCATATCCGCTATAGGAAAAATGTTGTGAAGAAATTACTTGCGGTGGTTGATATTTCCACCCCTTGCAATCGAAGGAGAAGATCAATAAATTATTTGATAAATGCCTTTTCGATATTAGGAGACTGCACATAGTTTTGTAACTTTATTTAGAGAGAAATAAAAACTAAACTTGTCTCTCTCCGTGATCCATAAATCCTCAGGAAGGGGTCAGAGACATTTTTTTTAAATGGAAATTCACCCTTAATTTTCAAGACAAATCACCGCCTTAATTTTTTTGCACATATTTGTGTCATACATCCTATATGACCATTACAATATTTATTGCAGCTTCTAGTTGATTGATCTAATTCCACTGTTACACCAATTTAGGTTAAAATTCAGTAAACATTTTCACAACATTATTTCTTTCAAGTTGATGTTACAATATTCTCGACAGTTTCAAAGGAGACCGAAGCATAACTTGCAAATGTACAATATTCTATTAAAAAATCGTCGATATCTAAGTTTCAATAGTCTTAGTCTTGCTCCAAACTATCAAAAATTGAATTATATATTATTACCCAACAACTATTAGAATCTTATGAAGAACAATTAATACCATGGTATCCTCAAATTAATATCTAGTAGTTATTAAAACTTCCTCTCAACAGAATTAACAGTTACATTGTTCTCACTATTGTCATCCGTAGTTCTAGTGTAACCTTCTAGTTCATCTAACTTTAGTGTCTTTATTATATTTCACAACTGCGACTGTAATTCCTTAAAAAAGCTGCCAGTTTCCAGTTTTCACTCATCTTCCTTTTGACAGAACTTACATAAGCTGACTTCTATCAGGCCAACATTACTCAAGTGTTTCCTGAGTCTGCTGCAGATGAACCTACATTAGCTAGCTCATCAGCCTTCTCCTTCTTGGTGGTTCTCATCCTCTAATATCCTAGATGATGTCATATCACTTTGACTTCCTAACGCTACCAAAACACAACCCAATATTAACCTATATTTGATCTTGTGTAAGTTGACGGCATTTAGTGCTGCCTGACTGTCGACCCAAAAGTTATTATTCATGCTCTTCCTTATTAACTCCTTTACAATGAATTTTTGTCTCTAGCTGGAGGAATGCAGCTTTCGTTCCTAGAAACTTCAACTCTTCCATTATTCTTATCTGTCTGTATTTTAGTCGCCCACAAGCCAGGCTAGATTGGCTTTAACACAACACTCCTTTCCCAGTTCACTATTTCTGTTATTAAGACAGTTATTCAGCAATATATTGGAAATTACTCCATCATTCATCCAATATTATACCTATCTATTAAGTTTCAATACATTCCCTTAGAGATGTTATTTGTCAACAAACCTTCATATTATGAAATTTATAATGTAAACGTTGAAAAATATCTTACAGTTAATATGATTACGGAGAAGTTAAAATATATTACAGCCTTCCGCTCTATAGAACTTAATGCCTTGTTAAGTATTCTTTATGACGTAAAGAAAGTTCCCTGATTACGTATGTTTCGCACAACCACCTCATAGAAATTTCAAACCCACGTCGAGGAATACGAGACCCCACCCTCAAATCTGTAATCTTCCTCGTATCTAATTAACGCTTCGCTTGTATTCCAACGGCGTCTCTAAATTTATTCATTTCCAGCTCCAGGTGACCGCAACGTGGACGTTTCCAATTCAAAATGGGTCAGCCAGGCCCTAATAAAAGGCCCGAGCGCCGTGTTCGTCCAGAATGGCTCCCCCGTGACCTTCACATGTGAAATATCGCCTTTATCTCTGCAATCCGGAGTTTTCTTTGCCACAAGACCGCCGGTTCGGTGGCTGCACGACGGCAAAGAAGTTTCCTTTGAGGTAAATACAAAGTGCTATTCTTTTTATTCCAGTTCGAATGACTTTGATGTTTTGTTGTGGTGTTGGGATGTGTCAGCGCTTGGGGCTGTTCCTTGGCGATGCTTTGTTCGGTGTGAGTGTTGACGCGCCTGTGGATGTGTTGCATTTTAATTTTTAACGTTAGTAGTAACGGTACCTATTATCTTTAACAGACTGACGCGGTAATACGCTATACACAAAGAGATAGTTATGCAGAATAGTGACACAGTTTCGCATTTTTATCAATTTTTTGCACATACACTAAATTAGACTTCTTGAATTTCAAAAATACCTGTGCTATGCCTTAAATCAAATTACCATACGGATACATTAAAAGTATAGGGAATATAATGGTTTCCATCCGTTTTACTTCTCAATTTTGGATTTTCGGTTTAACAGTTAGTTATTTTAAGAAATAATCGCATTTTATTTTCATACGCTGCCTTTTATCATTGTCATTACAACCTGAGATATGTAGGATCTAATATTTGGATTCAGTACTGTTAAAGTATCTGGTAGCACTTATCCCATTCTTGTAATTTAACAGTCTATCAAAAAAATCATATTACTCTCAAGTAGTTTCCTCTACAACAATATTATTTTTAAGTAGAAAAGAGTTCCTTCACATGTAACTTTATTTATTTAATTTTTCCGATAAGCCATCAGAAATCAATGCTGTCAATTTAACTATCATTCAGATTTTAAGCTCGTCTGCAATAAATTATTAAATTATTTCTAATATTTAGCCAGAGTTTCTTTTCTCTGGATTCGTGGATAATACTGTAACTATCTTTTTAAATTGATTTAACATGTTTAGGAATGTTTTTGAGTTATAAAGCTAGTGCCACATACAGCTCTGTGCCAACTATGTTCGATATGTACAAAGTGATTCATAAATGGTGACCAAAAATGAAACCTCGTATTCTTTGCTGAGTTTTAAGGGAACTCTTTTCTATAAAGTTTTAAACATCAAAAAAAAATTTTTTAAATAATTTAAAAGCTATTAAGTGAATTAATTTGAAATTTTGCACATATATTTATGCAAACATTGTCCAAAATCTGAGGCCTTTTAGTACGCCATTACTTTGCGGTAACAACCATGATACATTCGGATTCGTTTTTCAATTGTGTACAAATTACTACTCTCTTATGTTTTTCGAGAAAAGCCTGATTTTCGAGTAAAACTTAAAAAACGAACTGAGAACACACTTCGATATTCGAACATAATGCTTTTTAAAATTACATAGTGGGCTGCGATAGCAACTTTAACATTCTGAGCAGTAACAAGAAATAATGCATCAGATTCAAGCAACAATAAATTTCGAACAAATTACATTTTCGTTACTAAAAAGATGTCGGGCTTGTTCGTGGAAATGGAGGTATTTTTGAGTATTTACATTTACTCAAATAAAATCGTTAAAATGATGACTAATGTTATTAATTTCTTTATTCGAATAAATAACCGGAAGATTAGTGATTGTCATGTCATTTAAGTAAAAGTTTTTTCATTTGGTTTTTTAAGTTTTACTAGAAAATCAGGCTTTTTTCAAAAAACGTAAGAGAGTAGTAATTTGTAGAAAATTGACAGACGAATTCGAAAATATCCAGGTTGTTCCAATTACCTTGAAAATGTCGGAATTAAAAAAAAACTGAGACACGTCGATCTTCTTTTCAAGGGGACACGTCCATTACGTTAGTTTTGGTGTTTTGGAAGCTATGCCTTAGGCAGGGGCTTAAAATACTCTTAAACTTTAAATTGCACCTTATGTTTAGTGACACCTCATTTTAATTCAATTCTGCTCACGACGACATACGATCTTTTTAAATTTTGGTTTGGATATGACAATAACATAATTACTTAAAGAATAAAACAAAATATCAATGAATGAGACAATGTTATTTTATTAAATGTTCAAATTGGTTTCCCTCCGCTTCCATACATTAATAAAATATTTGCTCCACTTCCAAACGAACATTTCAAAGCATTTCGGGCGTTATCTGATAACATTCTTCGGCAATTTCTCGATAAAAAAAATTAGTTTTGATTTTTCGTTCATCTGTAAATACATGAACTTCATACTCTATCAGTTCAACTGTATAACCTGTTTTACTTCTCTCGTCTTGTCTTGTCGAAACAATATCTCATAAAATTATCATAAAGTCGATTGAATTCCAATTCGTGAAAATGGTTTATACAATTACTAAAAAAGTAGAAATAATTAGTTTGTTTTACAAGAATAATGGTTGTGCACGGCAGGCAGCATAGATTTTTAATTATTGTCATCCTGACAAAAACACTTAGCATCGGTAGGTACGTCCTGGATTTAGTGCATACATTTTCGGAAACTGGATCGGTTGCAAACAAAATGCAACAACGTGAACAGGTTGTACGTAATGAGGGTAATCAGGTAGCTGTCCTGGATCACATCGCAATGGAACCAAATTTGAGTCTGAGCAAGTAGGTAGTAGGAATTTCTGTACCTATTTGCCGCCGAATCTTAAAAATTCATAAGGATCTTGTTCGCCGCCTGCAGTTCTGTGAAGAAATAAGTGATCGTGCTCGAAGGAATCCAAATTTTTTGTACTCAATATGTTTTTCCGATTAATGTACGTTCCAACTGGATGGTTGAGTCAACCGCCATAATTGCCGTTACTGGAGTGACGAAAATCCACGCATTTTTCATAAAAATCATACGCAGCATCCGAAGAAATTGAATGTTAGGGCGGGCAACTGGGAGACCGCCTCATGATGCCTTTTTTCCTTCCGGGAAATCTGGATGCAAACATGTATCTGAATCTACTGGAAACAAATATCTATCCGATGATTGTGGAACTATTGGAAAATGACAACGCTTTGCCAGAAGAGGATGTGTGGTTTCAGCATGATGGTGCTTCATCAGATTATGCCGTAGCTGTGCGTCATTTTCTTTTTTCTTTCAAATCACTGGATAGGACGCAGAGGTTCAATTCAGTGGCCTCCCAAATCGCCAGATCTAACGCCCTTAGAATTTTTTCTATGGGGACACTTAAAAGTCGAAAATTTATGCAACACGACCAAACTCACTTGAGGAGCTTCGTCGCCGAATTCTTGAAGAGATAATGCCCGAAATGATTCGAAATGTTCGTTCGAAAGTGGAGCTAAGATTTCATTATTGTATGGAAGCGGAGAGAACTAATTTGAACACTTAATAAAATAACATTATTTTATTCAATGATATTTTGTCTTATTCTTTAATTGATGATTTTATTGTCATATCTAAACCAACATTTAAAAAGTCGTACCTACGACATCGTCGTGAGCAGAATTGAAAAAGCTTTAAAATGAGGTGTCACGCAACATAGGATGACATTTAAAGTTTAAGGGTATTTTACACCTCTGCTAAAGGGTACCTTCTAAGACGCTAAAACTTATGCCATCACGTGTCCCCTTGAAAAGAAAATCGACGTGTTTCGGTTTTTTTTGTTTTTTGTTTTAATTCCGATACTTTCCAGGTGAGAAGTTTTAATTGAAGCACACTGTATATTGACAATTTTATATAGATTGATATGCTACGTTTGCGGTGATATAAATGATACTACAATTAGATCAGCAATGTGTACATTCTACACAATTGGAAATTAAATAAAGCCGGCCTCAGATGAAGCGGTCACTTGCCCAATATTTGCCAAATACAAACAAATGCAGGACAACTGAATAGCTGAGAATGCAATATGTTTATAGATTTGTACAATATTTATCAAATATAAACAAATATCGTGTCATGTGGATGGTGCAGATAGATATATTCAAAAGTATATCTTCAGTTGTCAAGTATTCGAGAAAATCGCACCGACCTCAGTAGTTTTGTTCTAAAACCATGGAAGAAACGCTAATTACACTTTAATAAATTTCCATCTATACATTGCCAATTACATTTAAATTAAAATAGATTATTTATTGGGTATGAACAGCGCTCGTCATCAGCGATGTTCTAAGAATATAGTCGAAAAGTAAACTTTGGCAGCCACATTTGTTAGGATAATGGTAGCTATTGTTAATAAACAAGTATAGCAATCACATTTATCATAGTATAATGTTGGTTTTAATGAGGCGGCAAACATAGCGAATATATAGATAGAGCTATATGTGACCCCAGCATAAGTTATTCTGTTGGCCTTTCTGTTGTCAAATTCACAGTGATTTTCATCATGGAATATATTTCGTCAATGTCAACAAGAGTTTTGACATTTCGGTTTATCACGTGTCGTCATTCTGTAATTTTTGTCGTTTCTAATAGAGATAGACATAAAACACGACGATAAGGATAATGATGACATGTGCCTGCAACAGGAAAAGGTGTAGTCGATTTATTGTCTACTCTTAATTTTTTCGTAAACATTACAATTATTGACATATGCCATAGTTATAATCACAGTATCAATATTTTCTCAATATGGAATGGTAGCAGCTATTAATTCTTAAGGGCCTTAACTATGTATTGTACACGCATTAGTTCACTTGAACGTTGAATTATGATTTAACAATAAGAATAAATAATTATTGACTATTATTGTCTTTTCATTTCATATGAATGATTAAATGACTATTTAAAACGTATTATTTTCATTTTTTAGATCGATTTCTATTATAAACTAACACAATATCAAAATTTTGTCAAGATGGCATGGTAGGAAATTCATCACATAACTTTTGTTTATCTATAATAATATAATATACAGGGTGGTTCAGTTTCCACTGCGGAAACTTCAGGATCCGATAGAGATTCAAAAAATAATATGAGTTTGATGTACAAACTATATTCGAAAAATTATTTGTTAAAGAAATACAACATGTTCAATATTGGTTTAAAAAACAAATTTATTAATTATTGTTAAACGGCTAAAGATATTTCAATGAAATTTTGTAAGCGTTAACTATCATCGAGAGAGCACGTTTTGCAATGAAAAACATTGTTTTTAGTTTTGCCAGTGGCGTCCGTATTAGCTCGTTACTGGGATATTTCTAAAGACCAAATTGGTACGCAACTTCTTTTTCATAAAATAAAAATTAGTTGTGTATTCTTCGTTCAATTTAGAAGAAATAAGCTGTCTTTCGATTTTTCTGTACGACTCAGCGTTTTCGACTAAAAAAAAAATAAAAAACTTTTAACACATACAATGTAAATGTAATTTAGTTTTTTATGTTAGTTAAACTATAACAGGAAAAACAACAGATTTAATTAGTGGTGTATAATGACAACAACAAAATAAAATAAAAATGTAAGTTAAAGAAATTGCTCGAAATGTAGTCACCCACCTCAATACATTTTCGACATCGTGTAACTAATAAATTTATTGCAGCAGCTACTTAATTTGGATTTCACCGCATATCATTGCAGGCTTGCTGAATCCTTAAAACTAAATCATCTCTTGTTAACACTGGAGTAGCGTAAACTTTGTCTTTTACATTTATCCAAACGTAAAAGTCCAGTGGATTAATATCCGGTGATCTAGGTGGCCAGGTCACTGCACTGGTCCAATACCATTAACCACGTCATGATTCATGTCATTCCTCCCTAGCCGGCCAATCCAACGTTGCGGATAGTTCGTATTTAGCCATTCTCTTACAGCTATTCCAAAATGCGTGGGGCCCCATCCAGTTGTATCCAACTTTCATGTCTTAAGTTAATGTAGTCCTGCAGGTTATTAGTAAGAAATTCACGAAATAGTTCTGAGAAGAAGTTGGGAGTAGAAAATGTGGACCACAAAGATTATTATCAAAACTCCCAACGAAAATTCATTTTGAAATGATCGTGGCCGAATTTCTCGAGGATTTTCGTGTACCCAAACATGGATATTGTGGTAATTCGTTATTCCACATCTACTGAAAGAGGATTCATCCGTCCACAGAATTTTGTGCAAAAAGTCTGGATTTTCAGCATCCCCAGGGTGTAAATCCTGTATGGGTTGTAAGTGATGCATGCCTGTCGTCATCTTGTAATGTTCATAATATTTGAGACTTATATATTTGTAGTTGCTGAGCTGCTCTGTGAGGGCTGAGCCTCGGATTGCCATCAAAAGTACGAAGAATACGATTCCGATTGTTATTGCGACGATTTCTGTTATATTCATAATTAACACGCAGGCCAAAGTTACGAAACTTTTGATGTGTTCCAATGAAGACACGAGCATCTGGGATTCTGCTATTTGAATAACGTTTTCGATATTCACGAACCGCCGCTTCCGCATTTCCATCACAAAATACGTAACAAACATGAATATATGTGTATTCTTCGTTACTAAAAAGCATTTTTCAGAATGACACTAATAATAACTATAACAATAACAATAATTACAAATCAGTTCACTAGAGAGCTAACTAAATGTGACAGTTACTAATTAATTTGACAGATAAATTTGTTATTTTGTCGTACTTGCTCAATTGTTTGTCAGAGATCACTTTGAAAACGCTGAGTCGACAGAAAAATCGAAAGATAGCTTTTTTGTTCCAAATGGAATGAAGAATCCAAAACTGATTTTTATTTTATGTAAAAGTAGTGGCGTACCAATTTCTTCTTTAGAAATATCCAGTAACGTGCTAATACGGACGCCACTGGCAAAAGTAAAAATAATGTATTTCATTACAAAAAGTGCTCACCGTGTGACAACAATTAATAAATTTAATTTTTTTAAACCACTTGAACACTTTGTATTTCCTTAACGAAGCATTTTTCGAATATAATTTATATATCATACTCATATTATTTTTTGAATCTCTATCGGACCCTGAAGTTTCCGCATTGGAAACTGGACCACCCTGTATATTACAGGATTCGATAAAGCAATTTAAATACATACTTGTATCTGACATATTGCTTTCTTGCGAATGAGTGAGATTTTAGGGTAAGCATATATTTCCCTGTACATTTTATTACACACACGTGAAAACTGTTTACAGCCCGGCATTATGTTTCCCAGAAGCGTAAATTTCGCCTTCAAAGCGACTCTTTTTTTCAGTTCGAAGGGGATAACGTTTCCGTAGAGACGGAGCACGACGATCAAAGAATCTCGAGCAGGCTGCGTCTGACTACAGTATCCTGGAAAGATGGAGGAGAATACACCTGTATGCAGCCTTCTAGTAAACCGGCCCTCGTAAAGCTCATTGTGGTTGAAGGTATGGTGTTACGGATGGGCTTAAATTAAATCTGCTAAGAGGAATTTAATATGCCTACCGGATTGGGTTGTTTAACTTGATATTTGTAGTTGTAGCTTTGTTTTATGCTACCCGCGTGACGGTAGTCGCGTATTAGTTTACTACATGCTTTGTTTTCACTTGAAAAAAAAAAAACTGTTACTGTTCATGTTCATATTTGTTACATGAGCTAAATATTTTATTACACCTAGTGGATAAAAATAAGTTGTCTTTGAAATTGGAGGTATTTTAACGGTACAGAGAATACCTAAGCAAATTATTTGTCTGAATAAAAATAAGCAAAATGTACCCATTGATCGGAATATACTCTTTTTTGGAGATATATCTACATATATCTTCAAATTTATTGAAAAATAGATCATTTTGTTTAAATAGTTCAAGAACAGCTTCACAAATTTTTGCAGGATATATCTAATAATAATAACAAACGTCTTTGTTAATAGTAGTACATCAGTGTAATTCTAACAATTATTAATACATTAGGCACAGAAATTAAGGGATATTAAAAAAACTCCCAAAATTTTGGTTGATTTTCAAACAGCTGTAACTTGGAGGGAAATGGTCGTAGAAAGAATAAAGAACAAAGACATTGAAGCTTCAAGTGTCTAGTTTTTGGATCTGAAGTTTAAAACTTTTTAGCGTCAGCAGTTTTTGAATAATAAGAAAATCAACAAAAAAAATTGCAAATTTTTGTTTTCCTTTAAAAAGGTCAATGGACTTCAAAAATTTTTTTTAGTAATTTTACCATGAAGCTCATTTAGATAATTTAATTCTCTTCAATTTGAGTGGTTTCGAGCTTGTACGATGATTTGTCGCTGAGTTATCGTCGATCAAAGCAAAAAAGTCATTTTTGACTTTGGAAATTAATCAATTGCTCGGGAAATAATGGTCGAACAGAAGCAGGGTTTTGAAAAGTGCAAAGTATTTTCTATAAGTCGTAATTATTGGTAAAAAATATTGTGAAACTGTTGGTTAGAAAAAGGGTAAAAAATTGCATAATTAAGGATAAGTATAGGATAGGCATAACTTTGCAAATAATATATAAGGATATTGACGTTTCTTCATGCCAACAAGTCTCAACCACCCACCTACGAGTCCCGATTTGAACCCCATTAGGCATGTTTAGGACATGCTCGGGCGTCGATGCCGACGAGACTATCCACAATTACAAAATCACCATCAATTGACCCAGACTCTTTTGCAAACTTGTCAAGGAATTACGCAACGAGACATCTGGCGGTGCATTAACATGCTATGTGTTAAAAAAAGTTTGAAAAATGTTGTTTTAATTTTTTTAGAATAATGAACGTTTTTTGATGAAGAAAATATGTATTAATGTTAAAAACCATTTTAACTGAAAAAAAATGAATAAAAACTGAAAAATTACTTATTACATTTTCAACAGAAACGACAAATTTAAACATTCTGGGTACCTACTAAGAAAAAAAAAATCACAGCGTTTTGAAATTGTCAGGGTTTCTTTAGAGCACTTTGAGGTTGAAAGATTACAGTCAATATCCTGAGTTTATCATTATTTGCAAAGTTATGCCAAGTTATTCAATTATCTCTAATTATGCAATTTTTACCTTCTTCTCTAACCATTTTCACTCCGATTTTTTTTTTGTTTTTCATAAACCAATAATTATAACTTGTAGAGAGTACTTTGCAGTTTTCCAAACCCTGCTTGGATTTTCTGTATGACCATTATTTCCCGAGTAATTGATTGCCAAAGTAAAAAATTATTTCTTGTTGCTTTGATCGACTCTGCGACAAATCATCGTACAAGGCTCCAGAACAGTTCAAATTGAAGAGAATTAAATTATCTAAGAGTGCTTTATGGTGAAATTACCAACAAATTGTTGAGGTCCACAGACCTTTTTAAAGGAAAGCAAAAATTTGTAATTTTTTTTTTCGTTGATTTTCTTATGACTACTCAAAAACTGCTGACGCTAAAAACTCCAAGTCTGAAAACTAGACACTTGAAATTTCAATCTCTTTTTTTTTATTCTCGCTACGACTATTTCCCTCCAGGTTACAGCTCTTTGAAAACTCACCCAAAATTTTGAGATATTTTTAAATATCCCTTAATTTTTGTGCCTAGTGTAGTACAAGGTTTACAATAGATGAACTATTATTAAATGGCTAAGTTTGCTCACCTACATTAAGAATGCAAGCTTCCACTCTTACACTTGGTACTCTCTTCCTCGAGGGTTAAATTTATGTTATCATTAAATTTATTTACTTAGTAAACAATATTTATTAATAATAATAGATTAAATTAAACTATTTTATCATACAGGTATTTTGGTGTTTTGGTGAATATAATGTTATGATATAAGGAACAGCTATGTAAGCAACTTCTGTTTTTCATAGACAACCGTTCTATTTCCTTCAATTTCTGGGACACTGACTGATGCGTAGGTAAACCAAATATTAGCCTTAAACAACTTCTTTACCCTCGTTGAATACGATTCCTAGTAGTTACAGGTAACAAAGAAGACTACCGAAAATGAATCCAACCCCCTCGTCAACCCTCAGCACCCTTTGCCACCCACATTTGTTTTCAGCAGCCTAGAAAACGTAGGCATACACAACCCACTCGACTTTGTTTGAAAATTAACACTTCAACCCCCATAAAGGGGTGTATGGGGTGGTAAAGTGACGCTAGGGGGTAACGAGGGGGTATAATTCATTTTTGGCAGTCTTCTTCGCTCTTAGTGGCCCAGAAAACATTTCAACTCCCAGAAGGGGGTGTACGGGGTGGTAACGGGGAAATCGCTAATTAAAATTTTTTTTATGGTCATATTCGGTTTCAGCGACCCCAAAAACGGAGGGGTAGGGGGTTTACCCTCTGGGTCTTGACATTTTTTTTGTGTGCCTGTGAAATGACTCCAACCCCCTCGTCAACCCTCAGCATCCTTTGCCACCTACATTTGTTTTCAGCAGCCTAGAACACGTAGACTCACTCGACTTTGTATGAAAATTGACACTTCAACTCCCATAAAAGGGTGCATGGGGGTGGTAAAGTGACGTTAGTGGGGTAACGCGGGGGTCTAATTCATTTTTGGTAGTCTTCTTCGTTCTTAGTGTCCCAGAAAACATAGGAATACACCCCTACTCGACTTTGTATGAGAATTGACATTTCAACTCTCAGAAGGGGGTGTATGGGGGGTGGTAACGGGGAAATGGCTAGTTAATTTTTTTTAATGGTCATATTCGGTTTCAGCGACCCCAAAAACGGAGGGATAGGGGGGTCTACCCTCTGGGTCATGACATTATTTTTTTTGTATGCCTGTGATTTATTATACAATTAATTGAAAATAATTTTATTGTGTAAATGTGCTACTTTAACCAAGTGTGTATAAAATGATCAAAATAAGTCCCCATATCTACATCACTTGATATTGAATAGGTATATTAAATGTAACTACATCCCTATTAAATTTGTGAACCTCTCATTACATGTTCTTGAAATACTTATAAAACTGATTTACTTTTGGAAGTTTGAAGACCCATGTCAGAAAATAACCGAACTTTTTAGAGGTATTTACTGATATACGGTTGGCATAACCTCCTCTGTAACCACATGTTCTTGTATTGTTGATATCTCATTTAGTTTTCGTGATATTTTTATTTGAGTTACATAAACATATTTTGCTTATTTTTATCTCTGAGAATGTTCATTTATAGTTTTGCACTTCGTTAAACACCCCATACTTAGAGACTTGGATAACTCAAAAAGGTCAAATTTGCGAATTCTTTTGCAGATGTATAAAAAATAGTTTTAGGCGTCAATAATATATCCACCAAAATCGACAACTATTTATTAACCTGTCAGTTTTTATGTAATTTTTTTCATAATAATGTTGTTGAAGATCATAAGCGAATTTTTTTGTTAACAGAGAAATTTTGCATTTGTCTGCAATAACAAAAATGTGGCGTTAGTTTTTATGTAATTTTTTTCATAATAATGTTGTTGAAGATCATAAGCGAATTTTTTTGTTAACAGAGAAATTTTGCATTTGTCTGCAATAACAAAAATGTGGCGTTAGTGGAGAGAAAAATTAGGGACAGATAAAGGTATTTTCTTCCAAAAAAATAAGACCTTCAATATGTACAATTCTATGGACCGCTAAGAATTAAAACATTTTTCATATTTTTTATCTAAAAAAAATCAGAAGATATGTTCTGTAAGTTGCTTATAACGTAAGCATTGCATATGATACTATGAACATGATTTCTATAATTTACTACATGAAAATTCGATTTTTCTTCAATATTAATTTTTTCTCTAGGTGAACATTCCGAAGCGATGCAAAGGGACTTCCCGTCAATTTCGAGTGGAGGGGGGACTTCCATTGATATTTTTATGTACATACTACCTATTTTCACAATAAACTTTGTACAAATGTAAAGACTGTATTATTTAAGATAAAATAAAAACGTAAAGTTTAGTTTAAAGTTTATTTCTCCTAAAGCTTTCTACTTTATTGCAATTATCTTTTATGGTTTTCGCGATATGAGTACATCCGAATAAGTGTAATGACACTTGTAAGAGATAAAAAATGGTATTGAAATATGGCCTTCTGGAGTTTATGATTTCAAATAGGCACATAAAATCATGCAATCCTTTAAAATTTAGTAAAAACTGATTCTTTCACCAGCAAAGCGCCATTTTTTATGAGATGTCACGAAATGTTATTGAAAAACATTTCTCAGAATAAAAAAAAATAATGTTTACTCCAAAATTCGATGTCTTAGTTTGCTCTTCTCTTGATTTCGCAGTAAACCGTCTTTTTTCTATAAGAAACTATTAAATTTAGCAAAAGGTTGTGAGAATCTTTTTTTAATAAGCACTTTATAAGCGAAAATCTGATTTTAAATAAAAAATCAAAGTAGGCTCAGTACAATTAAATTTTTAAATTTTTTTCTTAACAACACTGTCGTGTCTCATACAGGAGTTGTATTTTACTTGTAAAAAATAATTTATTCATTATTACGCAGTAATATTTGAATACTATTTTTGCACTGTCTTCATATATTATAATCCAAAAACCTTTTTTTACACTTAAAATAACATGTAAACCCATAAACTCGGTTTTCATTTGTATTTTATGTACATTTTTTACAACTTTGCACTTGGAATATGTTTTTGAAACAATACAATTAATTTTATTTTCTCTTTTGTCACTGGTTCGTATTATAATAGTAAATACATCTTATTTTAATCCCGAATAAAAGTTATTTAACCTGTAGGTACAGGGTTTTTTGCGAGATACGAACCACTTCGGTGTCATTCCAGTGAGAAATTTAACACAACATTTTTTACCGTGTACCTTTAACTTTTAAGCATGTCTGTCAATTCTCTACAAAAATAATTCCGTTTTAATTGCACATATCGCTCATCTTGAGGTCCTTGCAGGCGACAGGATTAGTCCACTCTCCCTTACTGCTCGTTCTCCACTATAATTCCCAGCCGGCATTATTACCCTCATAATCAGATATTAACCCTAAATAGCCCCTTGTAATAGGTTTATTGGTGTGACGCTGTTAAAGCCTAACTATTTCATAGGTTCGGAGATACATACTTGCTAGTAAGTATACTCAAGAGGAGTGCCAGGTCGTTAGGTGGGAAGATACAGACGACGGTAATGAGCGGGAGGTGGGTAAGTAGCAATTGGGGTTGGCAAATTCCAGTAATGAGTACAGAACGTAATATCACAGTGACCACAGTGCAGCAACTCGTTTTTTTAAATATACCAGTAATTTATCACAGACGAATAATAAAGTATTAATATACAGGATGTCCCTGAAATTCTGTATCAGCGTAGATCCAGTCCGTACAATATTTGTTGAGATAGACTTGAGATAGAAAAGGATAAGCCAATAAAGTTCTGTTATCGGAACTACTCTAACAATTTACCGCGGTAGCGGCGTGATTTGAAATGTTCCGTTAATGTTTTTCTACCTCGGGTGTCAAATGTGGTTAATCCAAAGAAAGTGACGCAGGGGAATTTTGTCTACAAATATCGTACGGACTGTACTAGGGTCATAATAAAAAAATTTAAACCAACTTACAAACTACAAAAGTCAGCACCTACTGAAATATAGTCACCTAAATGCAGAACAACCTTTTTTCATATAACTTTAACATAGTTTAACCCAGACACATTTTATAAGGTACAAGACTGTTTATTTGAATGTAATGCATTCCATGTATATGTAAGGAAATAACATAAATGTTTTTTAAGGATGCTCACTCATTTTATCATACCTTAGCTTTATATTTATACGTACGCCGAAGGCTAGATATTTTCCAATACAAAATTCCTTTATGTTAGTTCATGGGCGACTGCAGGGGGCGTGCCCCATGAGATTTAATATCCTCATGTTCAATGTTAAGTAAAAATATTTGATCACATGAAAATATAATTAATGTACTTAGCTGCTTATAACAGAAAAATGTATATAAAACAATTTTTTTTTTTGACACATTTTTTATTTGACCTCTTTTCTTTTTATAAAACTGTTTCATTTAATTGTTTTATGTCTCACGCGTCATTTTCATCTTACGACATAATTAATGTATATAAATGCTGAACGATTTCTATCCGAGAACAATGGCTTTTGAATAATATTTTAAATTTAATTTAAAACATAACTTGTGTACCCAGCATTATACTACTGAATATTAGTAGATAGAATTAATGTATATCAGATACGCTTATTTATCTTGTTACGTTTTTTTAATTATTATTATTATTTATTTGAATATGTTGGGGAAATTTAAAAAATATAATTTCTATATTTATTTTAGAAGAATAGGTACCTTAGTTTCCGTCTTCATTTTAGTTTATTAAATTTATTGCATTTTATTTTCCATAATTTATATTGCAACAAAGCTTTTGAACATGTATTACTATGTTAAACTACTCCTAAATACCCCCCCCCCTATTTTGTTTTTTGTAAAATTTAGATATCTGATATATAGATCAAAATAAAAAAATATTTATATTAACATAAGTGCTTTCTAAAAATATTAAACAAAACCCATATGTTGAACAAATTTTAGACAATGTTGAGGTACAGTTTAGGGATTGTGTTCATATTTATCAAATATTTTTTATTACTTTCATGGGTAGAATCACTCGTCCAAATATTAGGACGAAATTTTTGAAAACCCTATATATCATACAATTTAACGTCGAAGACATAATAAAGAGGAAGACCTAATTTATCTTTATTGGATTTGTCATGAAAATTTTCCAGTTTTTATACAAGGTGGTCAAAAGAAAAGATCGAATATGAAGTTCAAAAAATGTGGAAAACTTGAAATTTGAAATAGAAACCCCCAATTTTTTTAACGTATTCGCATTCTGCACTAAAATTGAGTGTCTGTGATAAGTCTGTTGAGCGAGGCGGCCATAAAAACCTGTAACAGTTGTCATGTTGATTTGTTACTTACCCGTCACGGCCAACCTAAACTGTGCGAAACAAATGGAAACTATTTCAGAAAAAGAAATGTTTTTTTGACCACCTTGTATAAAACTGGAAAATTTTCATGTCAAATCCGATAAATAAGGTCTTCTTCAAAATTACCGATTCGCACAAAAAAATAAACCTTTGCTTCTGGAAAAACTTTTGTATTATATATAATAAATACAAGTAAAATATTGTTTAATAAATTGATTGACAAATTTTATAATAAATTATAAACTAGTTATGGCGATTTCTATTCCAATAAACTGATAGTTTTATTATAAAACAAGACCTGAAAATAAAATTGCAATTAAAACTTGGATGAATATATTTTCTCTAAAAACACGTTTAGGCTGAAGCAAACATGACAGTCTTTTTGCAAGTTCTCTTCTGACAAACAAACACTAGGCCCAGGTTTTGCGAACAAAATAGTTTATGCTTGCAGATCATCGCACTGCATACAGGGCGTTTCAAGAAGAATCGACGCAGTTTTAAAGGAGGTTGCTGGAGTCAAAATGGAGTTTAATCAAATATGTACTTAACAGTTTATGTTACCTATACATTTATACAAGGTTTTTATATCAGTTCAAATTTATAAGCATAAAGTATACATAATTTTAATAAGATACGTAAAATTTATAGGTTGATCTTTAATTATTTCGAGGTCTAATTGTAAAATAAATAAAATCTTAATAAGTAATTTTTTTTAAAATTATCAAACTAAACATTTGTGAAATAAGATTTTATTTACGAACATAATTGTTTTTATTTAGTGTTAATAAGTTGAAATTAATCCTAAACATATAGAATATGTTTCTTGAACCTAAAGCAACAATATTAAATCGATTCTAGGCAAAACAGATTAAACCCCTCCATCCAAAACACTCAAAAACTCTTAATAACATAATAACATCATTTTTCGTACATCTGATGCACAGAATCATATAAATAACATTTTTAGTGTACAAATTAAGTAAAATCTTGCTTATAGTCATAGAAAAAACTTTTACCTCCGCGCCTTCCACCCTTTTCCCCCATCTGCGTAACCGCTGGAAGATACTGAAGAATATCAAAGCGATTTCACAAAAACATTTATTTGTCAGTCTAATACAGTGGCGGTTTTACCATAAGAGCTGCGGAGCTGCAGAACACATAAAATTTTATGTATTTAATCATATTAAATATCAACAAAATATTTTAAAAATCCAAATGTACTCGCGCTAAAATAAATCTAGGAGCTTATATTATTATTTATTGCGACGCGAGCTACGCTCCTTAATATATGCAACCTCATATACAAAATGTGTGGACAGCGAACAATTAGATGCGTCCTTTGTTTTTATTGGCTAATCAGGCACGTGACCCAGTACACTTTTATATGGGCTTTTGTTTCTGCAACAACGACAGCCACTGCTGCAGTAAATGCAGTAATATTTCGTACGTGGTATGTGGTGGTTTATTTCTGCGAGCGGCACGTGTGAATATTTTCGTTTAGGCGTCTACGGATATTATAGTTATTAAAATGAATAGCGTTTC